CTTCGTAGAAGCTGACATTTTGCAGATGCCATTACATCAAATGGTAACTGATATCAATAATTCATGACAGAAGAATCCGAAAAGGTTTGATATTTCAATTATTCTGAAGAATCTTTATTAGAACAATGCTTAACACAGGTACCAGAGCTTATGAATTCACCCTTTTGAAAATCAAACTACAACCAAACAGGCTAGGACATTAAAGCCTCTAAAAAAAGCCGAATGTTTCTAACATCCGCCCATCCAGGCTATGCTCCTCACAATTCGCCGTCCCAGAGTTCCTCGATGGTCTTGTAGGCACCGTGCGTGTCGTTGACGAATCCAGTACCTTTAAGTAGCCTCTCCTGCAAGGAATTACAGGGAAACTTTAGCAAAGTTGAATCACAAGAAGCTTATAATAGGCCTAAACCCATTGGACATGTACAACGACACAGATAAATTATACTAGCAGATGCTACTAAACCGAATCTTTTTAAACAGAAATTTCATTCATCATTCAGGCATGATATACACCAAGAAGAAGAAAAGACGGGTTGAATTTGGCAGAGTACTTGCCTGCTTTACTTCAGCGAAGTTTGCAAGCAAATCTTCAGGTATAGACCAGTCAAAAACATCAAAGTTTTCCTTGATCCTTTCCTCCTTTGTGCTCTTAGGTAGAACACTGTGGCCTGACTGTAATCCCCACCGGATAGCCACTTGAGCAGGAGTCTTTCCCAGCTTCTCTGCTACCGACAATAGGATTGGATTCTTAAGGACATCACCCTTAAGGCTACTTGTGCCTGGTGATCCCAGTGGTGAATATCCCTGATATAATAAATTCATTACAAAATTATACCAGCAAGCAGCAGCGTGTGACTTTTGAAATCAACATTTTACTGTATTGATGAATACTCACACTTAAGTGGACTCCCTTGGATTTACAGAATTCATGTAGCTTCTGCTGCTGCCATTGAGGGTGGCTTTCCACTTGATTTACAGCAGGAGGGATGCGCGCCACCGCTAACAGGTCTCCTAGCTTTTTGGTAGAAAAATTGCTAACCCCAATAGCCCTGGCCTTGCCAGAATCATATGCTGCCTCCAGTGCTTTCCAAGTACTGGGAATGTCAGGTTGGTCAAGGTTTTCAGGCTTAAAACCAACTGAACCACTCTTCATCTTGACTGGCCAGTGGATCTACAATATTTTTATGCACATTCAGTGACAAATAAACAACGATTTTACCAATTTATATGAAGCTAGTGAGACCTGCAAGCTTGTTGTTTGTGATTTTTAGCATTGCGTCCTTATCCCCAGATACAACAAAGTCCAAAACTAACTAAAGCATAAACCAATGTTAATTTTATTTTCGAAGAAATCATTCTATTCATGTATATAATAAATGTCGTTTTGTCAAAGATTTTAACATATTGTGTGCTGGTATGTCGAACTCTCACCTAAATGTATGATCCAAATTCGAAACTCATACACTAGCAAACCAAGATATCAGATTGTTTGACAAAAGATCATCCTCTGTATGTATCATGTAAATACGTATGTACGTATTAAGAAAGAGTATTTAAATGTGGCTAACATACCAGATATAGATCGAGATAATCGAGTTGCAAGTCCTGCAGGGTACTATCTAGTGCCTTTGGCACATCTTCTGGTGCATGATTACTACACCTGCACAGTGCAGACAAATGTAATTTCAAATTCAATCTTTCCAATCAGATAGGAAAGACTCGAGAGTCAAGAATTCAATAGGAAAACGCACATAAACAAAACCCGCTACAAAACTTTTTCTCAAAAACAAAACAGGGACAGTAAACTGACAATAAGTTGTATATAAAGTTACAAATCTAGTGTTTGAATTAAAAGTTCGTATCCAGTTTCATTCGTGTATGTTTCCGGAGTTATTAACATCTTTGAAACAGACCAGAGTTTTGAAGTGATCCACAAGTCCTCCCGCTTCACTACACCATCATCGTAAAGCTTCTTCAGAGCAAACCCAATCTACAAAATCCACGAAATCATGATTGGTCACTGTTTCATTGTCACACCAATTAATTCTCTAAACCAGATTAATTAAGCTGATAAATGTTAAACCCCAAATAATAAAAAAATACCTCCTTTTCATTTCCATAAGCTTGAGCACAATCAATATGCCTATATCCGATCTACATTAAAACGAACGTGCAATTAAAATCAAAACTGAACTTTTTTTTTTGTAATTGGAATTCAAAATTAAGCCAACGGAAAACACCTTAATGGCGGCGGTGACGGCGGCAGCGACGACGCCAGGCTCGGCCTGCCAAGTTCCCAGTCCGACTGACGGAATCTTGGCCCCAGTGCTGAGCTCAAAGAACCGAATTGCTTTCGCCATTTTTCGCTTTTTGTGTTTTGTTTGCAGAAAACTTCTCACTTGTTACGATTGTAATTGGCTCAGTTCGTATATATAGCGGGAGGAAAACGGCTAAAGGGCACATGAATCACGTCAGTTTACACACGTCGCATAAAAGGCCAACATTTAAAGCGGAAGAATGCATTGTTTGACCAAAGCCTAAACGGAAAACGTCGCGTATTTCTAAGTTTTCTTTTCAGTTTTCACATACAATGTATTATTGAAAATGGAAATGGAAACTAATAATATTTTTTGACTGGAAACTTTATTATTTATTATTTTTATTATTTTTTTTTAATTTTATACTCTCAGCAAATTAGTAGTGTAATGTATTTCCACATAACTATTATGGAATTTATTAATTATGAAATTTAAAACTTTCCATTTTGTGGGATATGGTTTTATTTTATTTTATTTTTTATTTTCTTTCTTTCTTTCTTTCAAAAGAATGAAATTTTATTATATTCGAATGGAAATGTTTACATTTGAAGCCAAGTATTAAACAACCGTCCTAGCTCAAAACCATCCCAATTATGAAAGACCCCTTCCCAGGCAACAAACGAAGCCATTAGATGCTTTGCCTTGTTGCAAACACGAGAAGCAAAGACAAATTCTACTGACCTCAACGGTTATTTCAAACGTTGAACATCAAAGAGGATGCCTTCAACTAGTGGCGAAGCCACGTGGGAGCGAGGAGTGGCGGCCGCCACTCCCCTTGCCGGGAAACACCACTGGACCCCAGGTCTTCGCCACTCCCCTCGCGCGCCTCGCCGGAAAATAATGGTTCACGCAGCAGAGCCCTCTGTTTTTCTGGGTTTTCTGGGCAATCTGCAGTGCAGATTGCATTCTAATTTTTTTTTTTAAAAGCTAAATCAAAACGGCGCCGTTTTGATAGTTGAATTTAAAAAAAAAAATTATAATGGGGTGGGGGACCGCTTCCGCGTGTCGCCCCAATGAAACCCTAGCTTTCTTCTTCTGTCATTAATCAATACACACACACCCCATCCGCACTGCACACCCTTTACTCTTTTCTATCCTTTTCTTCTGTCTTCTTCACCAATAATCAACACACACACACAGAGCGGGCCACCATCCATCTCAGCCAAGCTGCTCTTCAAACTCTAGCAGCCAAGCCAAAGCCACAAAGTTCTCTTTAATTTCTGTTCCACAAGCCAGTGAGCCACTCTCCTCTCCTCTGAGCTTGAGCCGGCTCCAATCAATATTTAAAGGTAAATTTTTTAATTCTTAAATGCATAATCCCTACCTTAATTATGTGAATCAAATGATATGGTTATTGATTATTCATGTCATGGTTATTTAATACAAATTATGAAATTATTTTTTAGGGTGAAATTATTGATACGAATTGTTGGGTATTAGAAGAATCATGTGTATGTATAATTGTACATATAGATAAATTGGCATGTCAAAAGTCATCTTTAACTAAACTTATTGGTAATAAGCCACATTTTGAATGAAATTATGAAATTATTTTTTAGGATGAAAATTAAAATTTGAATTCTTTGAATCTTGATGGATGATTAGTTGAATTGCTTAGTTGTATTCATATGAATATGATTAGTTAAATTACTTAGTTGTATTCATATGAATATGATTAGTTGAATTGCTTAGTTGTATTCATAGAGTCTAAGAATTTTTATTTCTTTTCATTTTACAGTTACGTAATAGAACGATACTATAAGAAACAGTGCTTAAATCCTCCTTCAAACATTTTGGGTAGTCCTCCTCCTTCAAATATTCCGAGTAGTCCTCCTCCTCCTTCAAATATTCCAAGTAGGTCACAACAAAGTGAGGCCACTGAGTTGGATGAAATATTGGCTAATCTTCCTGCAGACCCTGCACATAGACATCGAATGCTTGAGTATCCACCTAATTATCGTGAAGCAATTCGTAGACACTATCTCCAAAATGATCCTTGTCAACCTAGAGACCACATCATGCCAAGAAAGGTTAGCGACAATCGATGTTTTATCATTGGTTGGTTTGATAAGTTTAAGTGGTTGGAGTATAGTATATCAAAAAATGCTGCATTTTGCCGTTATTGTTATCTTTTCAAATGTGATTTTGATCAAATGGGTAGCACTGGAAGTGATGTCTTCACTGAGATAGGGTTTACAAATTGGAAGAAAGGACCCAAAAATCTTCGAGTCCATGAGGGAGGTGTTGGAAGTCTTCATAATAAAGCTGTACAACAAGCTAGAGATTTGATGACACAAAAACAACACATTGAAACATTTGTGATTAAGCAAACCGATGAAGCTCACATTAATTATCGTACTTTATTGAGTGCCTCACTTGAGTGCACAAGATGGTTGTTGGGACAAGGTTTACCTTTTTGTGGCCATGATGAATCGTTGAAATCAAGCAATAGGGGCAATTATTTGGAGCTTATGCAATTTCTTTCCAAGCATAATGAACAAGTTAGAAAGGTTGTGTTTGAGAATGCTCCCAAGAATCTTAAGTATACTTCTTCCGATATTCAAAAAGATCTTGTCCGTGCTTGTGCCATTGAAACTGTAGGTGCAATCACTAAAGATATGGAAGGTGCATTTTTTTTCTCTTTTGGTTGATGGAGCATGTGATTCTTCAACTAAAGAGCAAATGGCGGTGGTATTGCGTTATGTGAATAAAAAAGGGGAAGCAATTGAAAAGTTTTTGGGTGTTCAACATGTCTCCTCTACAACTAGTAGCTCGCTTGAAAATGCCATTGAGAGATTGTTTGCTACAACAAATTTGAGTATGTCTAAGTTACGAGGACAAGGCTATGATGGAGCTAGCAATATGAAAGGTGAGTTGAATGGTCTTAAAACAAAGATTTTGAACAAATACCCTCAAGCATTTTATATTCATTGTTTTGCACACCAACTTCAACTAGCTCTTGTATTCGTGGCAAAGGAAAATGAGGATGTTGCCAATTTCTTCATCAATGCTAGTAGTTTGGTGAATCTTATTGGATCATCGTGTAAGCGTCGTGATGCATTTAGAGAGAAACAACAAGAACAAATTCAGAAAGCTCTTGATCTTGGTAATCTTGAAACGGGTAAAGGGTTAAATCAAGAAATGAGTCTCATGCGTCCATGTGATACACGGTGGAACTCGCATTATGGTACTATAGTTAGTATTATTGTTATGTTTGAAGCCGTGGTGGAGGTGGTTGAATGGATTAAAAGTGATCGCAACCAAGATAATCTCGGTGAAGCAACTAGGTTATTCAAAGACATACAAACTTTTGATTTTGCATTTCACCTTTTCTTGATGAGACTTATATTGGGAATTACAAATGAGTTATCACAAGCATTGCAAAAGAAAGATCAAGAAATTGTGAATGCAATGGCGTTAGTGGAAGTATGCAAGCAAAGACTACAATCCTTGAGAGATGATGACTTTGGGGACTTGCTTCATGATGTAAAAAAGTTTTGTGAGGAGCATGATATTATCGTTCCTAACATGGAGGATTTGCATTTCGTACCTGGAAAATCAAGGCGTAAAGCTCCAAAAATCACAAACTTCCATTATTATCGTGTGGACCTCTATTTTCAAGTCCTTGATATGCAACTAAAGGAGTTGAATGATCGCTTCAATGAGGTAAACACCGAGTTACTTCTTTGTATGGCTTGTTTGAGTCCGGTGAATAATTTTGCATCTTTTGACAAAGCAAAAATTGTTCGTTTAGCCAAACTTTATTCTCAAGATTTTGATCGTATGGACCTCATGAATCTTCCAATTCAACTTGACAATTACATTCATGATATGAAGATGCATAGTGAATTTTTATCATTGAGAGGAATTAGTGATCTTGCACAAGAGTTAGTGAAGACCGGGAGGTGTGAAAGTTATATGTTAGTGTATAAACTTCTTACATTGGCTTTGGTGTTACCGGTTGCAACCGCTTCGGTGGAGAGAGCTTTTTCTGCTATGAAGATTGTGAAAACACCATTGCGTAACAAAATGGGAGATCAATGGTTGAGTGATAGCATGCTTGTTTACATTGAGAAAGATGTATTTGCTTTTATTGATAATGAGCCTATTATGCCACGTTTTCATGACATGAAACCTCGCCGGCAACAATTGTAATTTGTTTGTATTGATTAATTATGGAAGACATTACTATATAAAAAGATTTAGTTGTTGCCATTTTTCTTTAACCTTGCATTCTTTTAAGTTCGCCCCTCCCCCCGAGAAATCCTGGCTTCGCCACTGCCTTCAACCACAACATCAAATTGATTTTTTCCGTTAAGCAAATGCATATTTCGTGGAAATTTAAAACTTTCCATTTTATGGGAATATGATTTAAAATGCACATTTTGTACATATTCAATATGGTTTAAACTTTTCATTTTATGGAAATTAAAACAAAAAAGTGTCTACCTCTTTGAATATATATAGCACCCACAACGAGTTACGACGTACAAATCTTCTAATATATACTAGCATATGGGGTATGAGAAAATTTTTTATTTTTGTTTTTGAAATAGAAGGAGAGAGGAAGAGAGTGATAGAGAACGTGGGAGTGAGAATTTTTTATTTTTTTTATTTTAATTAGAGATATGTTAGGATTATATGTAGGTGAGGCTTTGAAAAAAAAAACAAAATTTGGTTGTGTGAAATTACATTGCTGCCCCATATTTCTTATTCATGTTCTGTTTTAATTAGAGGGTTAAACTGGTAATTTCATAAGGTTTTGGTTGACAATGAGTGTTTTATTAATTAGTAGAGATTAATAGAGATAATTCAAACAAATTAAAATACTCCAAATATTAAAAATTAACAAAAAAGAGAGTTTTTATTTATTTTTAATAAACAATATATATACTAAAAGAGTGAGGGAGTGCGTTTAAGCATATTATTGCTAGCTCATTGCGAGACTTGGCGCACCTACTCTCCTTTAGCGTAGATAATATCGTTTGTTTTAAAAAAAAATTAATAATAATAATAATAATAACAATAAGAATAAGAATAATAATATAAATGCGCACCCCCTCCTCTTAAGTGTAAATAATATTGTTTGTTGGAAGAAAAAAAATCATAATAATAAGAATAATAAAAATGCTTAAAGTGCTGATACGGACAAAAGTTGAAAGACTTTAATCAAAATTAAAAAATCAATAATATTTCAATCAATAAACATTGGTTGTTAGGACCGCGTCCTAATTTTTCCAACTTTTAATTTCGTACTCGACGTTACTTGTAGTTGGAATGAGGTACACTTCCAAATTCGGGGGATAAAATGAAATTCTCGCTATAAGTTGGGTGTTTTTTGTTTTTGTTATATTTACAACCAAAATTAGGGGATGAAGTATTCAAACTCTTACCATCGTGTGCAAAAGTAATTGCTGTTAATCAACTGAACTATAAATCATTTGCACAATTAAGATACTTTTGGTGTGTCAACAAGATCGTAGAATTACTAATAAAGGTGGTTTGGACATGTGAATCAAAGACGTAGAGATTTTCCGATTAGAATATGCGATTATGAGACAGAAGATAATGGTGAATAGAGTAGATGAATACATTAGAAGACTTCAAAAGAGACTCAAAAAAAAAAAAAAAAAAACATGAAGTATGTAGAGCTGATAAAAAACTTGGTGCAAAACTAAACGAATTGACGTTCTAACATTTATACATCCGACGCCAAACTCGGCCAACCACGTGCCCAGTCCGACCCACGGAATCTCGGTACCAGTGTTGAGCTCAAAAATACGAATTGCTTTCGCATTTTTCGCTTTTTGTGTTTTGTTTGCAGAAAGCTTCACCCCTGGTGCGATTTTAAATGGCTCAGTTGTTATATATAGGGGGAGGAAGACGGCAAAAGGGCAGATGAATCACGTCGGTTTTCACATGCATTGTTTGACCAAATACTAAACGGAAAACGTTGCCTTTATGTAAGTTTTATTTTCAGTTTTCACATGCAAGGTATTATTGAAATGGAAATGGAACGTCATACTGACGGTGACCGACCATTGACTTATTTTATGTACGTTACTCTTAAATTGTATTTACTCTTCATGTTCGGCAGGAATTGTGGTTGTATACCTTAATCTCAAAGGGATCGTTTAGAAGAATTTTTAAATTTACATAGAACGTTTTTATTGAAATTAATTTTGAGTTTCAAAAATATTTTAAATGCTTTTTGAAAGAAGTATCATATATGTGCTTCTTGCAAGAAGCATTTAAAATGTTTTTCCAGGATCCACTTTAATTTTTACTAAGAATTAGTTTAGAAAATTTTCAACAAAAGCATTTTTAATCATTTAAAATCACTTTCAAACGAACCCTAACTTTTAAATGAGACTTTGGATGTGATCCTTATTCAACTACGACATAGTGGTATATTCTACAATAGAAGGAAAAAAAAACAACGTATGTGCATGTTCAACCACGGCACAGGATTAGTAAGCAAATACAACAAGCAAACACCAAAAAATTTACTATTATTAGGGGGAGGGAAGAGTTTGAAACTATTACAAAATTTAGGGAAGGGAGAGCAGTGGCGAAGCTAGGAATTTTTGGCAGGAGTTTAAAAGCGTAAAAGGTTTATAAAAAATATAGACAACCAAATCTTTATACATAATATACAATATTAATATCGTTCATAACTACCTGGAATACTCGAAGGAGGATTTGGAGTAACCGAAATATTCAAAGAAAGACTATCCGGAAATATTCGAAGAAGGACTATCCGTTGTACCCGGAATACTTGAAGGAGGATTTAAATGTTTTATATAAAAAATAGATAAGTATACCTAGTCCACATTGAAACATAAACGATCAACGACAACTTTTTATTCTTAATCTTAATATAAACAACAATTTGATTCAAACCTTTTTTTACCCTTTTTAGCAAGATCACTAATCCCTTACAATTGAGAAAAAGTCACTTCTTAAACGCATTGAATGAATATAAATATCAAGTTAATCTTAAAATGTATGGGTATGTGAAGGCTGAAGAAGAGATCGGAGAAGAGATGGTGGCCTTCGGTTGGGTGGGGTGGGAATATTAGGGAACGGGGATTGGGGACTAAGAAGTTAATTTGGGTGGGGTGGAATTGTTTGAAAGTCGAACCCTTTTTGTTTTAATAAAAAATGGTGAGGCTCTCAGCCTCCCACGTGACCTAGGATGGTGTTCTCAAACAATACATTAATACTCACCGTTTTACTTAATGCTCCACGTGACGTCGTGACCTAGGGTGCCGTTTAAAATGTAAATAGTCTTCTTCTTCTCTTCTGGCTTGGCGGAAAGCCAGAATATTTGTGCAGTCGCTGCTCTTCCCCTCCACCACTGCCCAGACTTGGGTGGTCCTTGGAAGTCCTCACAGCCAATTATCTGAGCTTCCGAGTGGTCTCGGGACCACCCAGGTCCCTTAATAGATCTGCCCCTGGTGCTCCTGGCCTTATTTTCCGACGAGAGGAGGGGCGGACCCAGAAATCTAGTCCTGTTTTCCGGCGAGGGGAGTGGCGGCCGCCACTCCTCGCCTTCACGTGGCTTCGCCACTAAGGGAGAGTTTGACCTCGGAATGTATGAGTAGAAATCCAACACACTATCCACTAAGACATTTGACCACATGCAAGCAAATGATATCATACCATTTGAATATGTAAAATCTATTTACAGCAAGAAGAGTGGAGAAAAAATGTCTACCTCTTCGAAAACGGGTTAGGAATCGTCTAATATATATCATTCAAACAAATTAAAATACTTAAATATAAAAAATTAACAAAAAGAATAGTTAGAAAAGCAAACACCAGACATTGTTCATGGAGGGAGATAATTGCCTTACAATCAATAAACATTGTTTATTAGGAACCGCACCTTAAATTTTCCAACTTTTAATTTCATACTCAACATTACTGGTAGTTTGAATGAGGTACACTTCCAAACTCGGGGATAAAATGAAATTCTCGCTATAAAGTTGGGTACTTTTTGTTTTATTCACAACCAAAATTAGGGGACGAGGTATTAAAAAAAAAAAAATTAGGGTACGAGTTATTCAAACTCTTATAATCATGTGAAAAAATAATTGTTATTAATCAACCGAGTTACAAATTATTTGCAAAATTAAGAAATTTTTTGGGTGTGTCACAACATTGTAGTATTACTAATTAAGGTGGTTTGGACATGTGAAGTTGTGAACTGAAGATCTATAGATACTCCAGTTAGAAGATGCTATTTTGAGACAGAGACAGTGGAATACATAAGAAGACTTGGAAATAGATTCTAAAAAAATATATGGAGTATTTAGAGTTAACAGAAGACTTGAAGCAAAACCGAAGGTAGTGTTGTTCTAATATTCATACAACCGATACCACTAAGTGAAATAAGGTTGTGTTGTTGTTGTTTTAAGTTATATAAAGATATTCCACTTAGAGATATGGGGATTTGTGTTAAGTTGCACCGTGAGTGATTATTTTATTCGTGTCATAACACAATAGCACTCTGGCCCATAATATATCAACCCACCTATCAATATTCTATAAGTTAATTAAGGATACATCAAATTCATGAGCAACAACGCCCACTAATATTATACACAATAATTATTAATACTACGTATGTAACAGTTTGATCCTGATGTTAATGAACTTCACCTTCAACGGGAAAAGAGTGGGAGAAAAAAAGTTGTTGAATGTGATATTTTGTGGCCGGCCATGTAGGACTTAGGAGTTTGTTTTGGAGTTATGCAATTGGCTCTTGTGTTAGTGTAGTTGGTGAACTATTTTGAATAGAGGAAGGAATCCAACTAATCGGTTCACTTTTGCAGTTCCAAGTGAGCACGACAAAGACAAAGATCCAATGGAAACCGCCATTCTCTCTATTTCAGCTCGTTTGTCATTGTCATGTCTCCAATGATTTTGACCAATATACGTTACCAATTTGTTTTCCTCTCCTTTTTTGGGATACACAATGCCACCGTCTTCCGTCTCCACCAACTTGCTTGTTTGTGTCAAAGTTGAAAATCCTTTATCGGTGAGAAAAACTTACATGCAATAGATTTATCGTTACTGTAATATTCCGTTTTAATAAAACAATGATATGCATAAGTTTTTCAACACATATTATTTTATTATTGAATCTGAACGCCACTTAACAATGGACTGGTTCCATCTAAAATGCAAATATATCGGCAAGGCTTATTGCCATAATTGTTTGAAGAGATGGTTAGTATCTCCAGATCTTCCGGTATGCTTTGGTTAATCGGAGTTTTTTTGTCATCTTTACAAAAGAAGTTTTGTTGTCATCTCCCATTCTTCCTTTTGAGGGTATAATATTTGAGAGTTGAGAATAACTTGATTACTAGGTTGAATGGATGAAATTAGTAAGGTCCGTTTGGTTTGAAACGAAGCAACGTGCGAATAACTAATGATCTAATTATGTCTTTTTAGTAAATGCGGGCATGCCAATTCGCTACCAAGCTCGGTCAACTAGTAGAATGAATGTGGTGGTGGTGTTGAACGTGATGTTGACTTCTGTTATTCGAGCGGTTGCGGTCGGGGAAGGAATACATCTCGGCCTCTGGGTTTTAAAGCTTGAAGATAAGGTTGCTAATTTATGCGAAGTTCAAATAAGGTTCGGTTTTTAATGTGCCCAACATTGAGTAACTGGGAACACCTAAACTCGCCGATAGGCTAATGAGATGACCTCGCAACAATGACTCGAAGACTCCTTATTGACAAAGGCTTGGATAGATTGTCAGTTGAACTTGAGTGTTGTAGTTGAACTTGAAGCATTGTTGTTACTCCAAATTGAAGGTGCTCCCTAAAAGCATTGCGTTACTCCAAACTGAAGGTGCTCTTCGATCGCCTACTCTACAACTCCAGTGCTGTTAATCTAAGATCGGCTCTAGTGCTGTTAATCCAAGATCGACTACAGTGTTGTTAATCCAAGATGAAGATATTGCTGGTTGCCAACACAGTGCTGAGAGTATAGCATAGAGCGAGAATATACACAAGGTAATTTTGTATGTTAAGTTGAAGGTCATTTTCTGCTGCACTGTCTCTTTGTATTTATAGGATTAATATGCTTGAACGTGTCACCTTTTGATGATAAACCAAAACCATCTTCATCCTAATAAAGACTGAACGTGCTATTAGGAATAATATTATCAAATTGGCCAAAAAGATAGATCACAAATGGATGGTACCATCTTTTTATCCATTAGCCGAGTCCAATTGTTGTACCATCAGTACCACCACATACTAATATGTCGCATCACCACCAAATTCTGACTCTTCATCAGCCAACCCTTTGCTAATGATGACCACGTGCATGCATGATAATCCTTTCATCCAATTGGACTTTAGGATATGATTGTATCATGACAATCCTTATCCATTTTTTGTGGAAAGGGATTTTCTCCGGATCTCTTCTTCTTAATCCATCAAGTTTGGGGATTCAAACCATTGAAATTTGATTCAACGGCTAATAAAGTTATTATAACTTTTAAAGTGGACCCATGTTTTTAGTTATTGAATCAAATTTCAATTATTTGAATCCTTAAACTTGATGGATTAGGAGGAAGGGATCCGGAGAGGATCCCTTTCCATTTTTTGCATCACGTTAATCCCTTCCACCTTTTTTGCATGACATTAATCTTTTTTACTGGACTACAAGATAATGATATATCATTATCCATCTCCGCAGATCATTAAGAGGCCAACATCTATCTTATTATGGAACAAACTTCTCGATTTTGTCGTCATCTAAGATAATTACTACGATAATCCAATAGTAATATGTAGAAAAAAATATTAAAATTCAACATCCTCTATCACACTGGCCAATAGTGTTGTGGCCATAATGGGATGAAATTATCGTACGCTAGTCATCTATACATGGGATTAAATTATCGTATGCTAGTTAGAATGAATCCTACATCGATGGAAGGAGAGACCTTACATGGACTTAAAAGTAAGTTGGGCTACTCCCCATATTATCAATTAGTTTTATGGTGGAACCTCAACTTTGATCATGGCATCATAGTAGGTTGTCCCACAAGCCAAATAGCCACACGTGCTCCACTTTACTCTGTTGTGTTGTCCACGTGTTAGACTTAAAAATTCGTCACATATGGGGGCGTGTTGAGAATAAATCCCACATTGATGTGAGAATGGACCTTGCGTGGCTTATAAGTAAGTTGGGCTACTCCCTTTATTGCCAATTGGTTTTATGGTGGAACCTTAACTTTCTTCCACGTTATCAGGAGCAGGTTGTTTCATGTGTTAGGTTTGAAAATTCACCACATGTGAGAGGGCGTGTTGAGAATGAATCCACATTGATGAGAGGAGGGACATTACATAAGCTTAAAAAATGTTGAGCTACTCCTCATATTACCAATTGGTTTAATGGTGGAACCTCAACTTTCTTCATGGTACCAAAGCAGGTTGTCCCACATGTATCCACCTTTTTTCATGGTATCAAAGCTGGTTGTTCTAATAACAGGATAACAAACTTGGACATGTGTCAACAGTGTATTAGTCCACATGTATTGATTGTATTGGTTATGTCGTAGCCAAGGAAGAAAATATCGGTAATATCGGTAGTCCGAAAACACGGAAATATCGATGGAAATATCGGGATAATATCGATAAAAATTACATGGAAACCACGGAAATTGTAAGAAAAACTTGGAAATTTTTATTGAAACTTTGTAGGATGTTTATTTAGTCAATTATCTATTAGTTTATCACAAAAAATTGGAAGGAAATGCATTGCATGATGGATTTAACATTATCAAGTTGATTATATAGCGAGCTGACAAACATTGTGAGTGTAGAAAATATGTAGTAATTAATGAAAGAAGTTTAAACACATCAATTGGGGCTTATTGCGGCAAGTTTTTTAGATATGACCTCGCATCAAGTCGTCTTTTGTGTTAATTTGTAATCTTAACTGGTTTTGTTGTGTTGTGTCAATTAGTTAAATTAAGCGGTACATCCAATTGGGGCTTATAAACATTTTAATTCTCCTTAAAAATCTAAGGGCATTTAATTAGGATTTTAAGTGATTCTTTAAAGTTTAAGGGGTATTCGATCATGATTTTTAAGAAATTCATACATTCCAAATGTATTCATTTAGAAATTGATTCGAAGAGATTTTTAAAAAGTTGGGAAACTCGAAAAAATTAGAAATATTTCACATAATATTTTAAACATTCTCAATCGCTCCCTGAAAATTTGAGGGAATTCACTTAAAATTTTACATAAAAGTTTTAAAAATTATTAAACTTCATCAAAATTCATAAATTTTTAAATCTATTATAATCCTTTAAAATCTGAATGGAGTAAAAAAATTCAAATCTAAACCTAATATGAAACAATCACTAAATTACATAGAATTTCTAAACCAAATCTAACAAGGATCAATTACAATTCTAATACGATGTTGTAATTACTTGGAGTTTTTTAGGGCAATATGTAACACCCACCCCCATTTATAAAGATATATTTGTGTAATTATCCCCTAAACTTTTTAATATATCAAATTGGTCCTCTTTGACTACCCAATTAGGATCTAAAACATTGGATTCCTTTCTTTCTGAAGTGGCCACGTGGCAGCCCCCCCTCCACTCTTCTCTTTTCTCTCTCTATTCCCCCGTGACTCCCTTCTTCTTTTCTTCTTCTTTATGTTTTCTTTTCTGTTTTCTTCTATCTCCCTCTCGGCTCTCTCTCTCATATCTCCCTCATCCCTCTTCTCTACACCGCAGCACGCACGCACCCATCGCACGCACCCATCTCCCTGCGCGAGGAACATCACCATCACCATCTCGTCCTCATGGCCGCGCTCCACCCTCAGTCTCTCGATCGATCATTCTCCATCCTTCTCCCTCAGTCTCTCCTTGTTTCTTCTTCGGTTCTCCCCCTATCTCTTCTCTGCAACTCACCTTCTCCCTCAGTCTCTCCTTGTTTCTTCTTCGGTTCTCCCCCCCATTTCTTCTTCGGCTGCCGTTGCGATGACGACGGAGGATCCTCGGCGATATTATGGCTAATATCGCGATAATATCGCTAATATCGTGATATTATCGATATTAGCGATATTATCGCGATATTATTACGATAACTAAGTGTAAACGTTGAAAATATCGCTATGTAAAAATAACGATATTATCGGCGATATTTCGCCGATAATATCGATATTTTCTTCCTTGGTCGTAGCTTACTTGATAAGCTAAGTATTAGCAAGCTATATAAAGGCTTAAGTGTAATAACTGTGGCGGTTAATAAAATCTGAAACTTCATCTTTCTTGCTTCTCTCTCTAAAAGCTTTTATGAAATTCTTTCTTCTCTGCATAATCTTTGTGATAATTCAAGATAGTTAATATGGTATCCAGAGCAGGTTCTTCCTTTGTGGAATTACTCTGTTCATAATTGCTTCCTCTTACTACAACTCAAGGAGAAGGTTCGAGATTTACAGTGGAGTTTTTTGGGAGCGCCGATTGTGATCTTCGTACTTTTCTGGTGATTTCTGTCTCGCCGACTGCGATTTCCGGTGATTTCGTACTCTCTGTCTCTGCTAGGTTATTTCTTTACCTCAATTAATTCCATTGAATGATTCTTGAAAAGCCAAGTGCTAATTGATTCTTGAAGGCCGATTGCCGATTACACTACCTAAAGGCCGAATGCCATAAGATTTGCGATCTCTCTTGGTTCTAGTGTTTGATTTGTGATATACTTCAAGGCCAATGCCATAGATATGAATCTTGATCTTTGTTTCATGATTTCTTTGTTCAAGATTGGGATTGTTTTTAGAGCTTCATACATTGAAGGCCTATAGCCATTACTAGTGTGAAATTGGTGTACTTCTTTTTCTGGGTATTTGTGAAATTGCTTTGACACAAGATGACTTCACCTACTGTGAAAATTGAGAGTATTTTGGGGGTGTTAACCATCAAGCTTAATGATACAAATTACTCGAAATGGGTTTTTCAATTCAAGGCTGTTCTTCAAGGTTTCAAGCTTTTTGATCATTTTGATGGTTCATCTGTTTGTCTGCCTAAATTTGTGATCAATACAGAATCTGGGGTCACTAGAGAAATCTCTTTTGATATTCAAGAATGGGAAACAGTGGATTTAGCACTTCTTAGTTTGTTAATAGCTACTTTGTCTAATGATGCTATTGAACATGTGCTTGGTTGCAAAACTGCTAGTAAGGCTTGGTTGATTCTTGAAGATCGATATGTCACTGTGTCCAAATCGAGAATTAATATGCTACAGAGTTTCAAACTCTCCAAAAGGGATCTGATAGCATTGACAAGTTTTTGTCTAGGCTTAAATCCATTAGCGATCAATTACTTGCTGCTAGAGAACACATTTCTGAGAATGATTTCATCATTGTTGCTCTAGTTGGTCTTCCCAAGGAATATGCTATTATCCAAACCGTCATATTGGCTCGTGAAAATACAATCTCATTGAAAGAATTTCATGCTCAACTGTTGAATATTGAAAGGGATATTGAGACTATGGAACATACTCTATCTAATTCGATGGCTACTATGTATGTTCAGAGTTCATCTTCACAGGTTTTTCCTAATCAATGAGGTTCTTCCTCTCATCCTCAATCTCATGCTGATGTTCCATCTGCAATTGTTGATACTATTACTCATGGTCCTTATTATTCTTCCACTGTTCCACTTGTGCATCCAGTTTCCTATAATGCTCCACCTTCACTATATAATGTCTCACAACCACCACCTCCATCATTTCCATATACTGCTTCTGCTCCTGGATATGACTTTAGGTATATCGGTTCTAATATTTCTTCTGGATCTCAATCACAGAATTCTCTGCCTTCTTCACATAATTATTTTCAATCAAGGCCTTACTATGGTGGTTCCCAAAGAAATAATGGTGGTTACAAATATAACAAAGGCAGAGGTAATAATGAAGGCTACAAGCAAGGAGGATGGACTGGTAACACTGATTCTCGTTTTACTATGCAACCTTAGCGTTAGATTTGTCAGAGAAGGGGTCACACGGCTTCTAACTGTTTTCATAGAAATTCTGCATCTTCTCCTAATTTCATTGAATGTCAAATTTGTGGGAAACGTGGACACATTGCGTTGGAGTGTTATCATCGAAGCAATTATCAAGGCAGTGGTTCACCTATCTCACTTCAGCATGATTTTGCTCCTCCATAGTCTACAAATTCATCATCTCACCCATCTTTTCCAGGACCATCAACTTACAGTTCTCCTATGTAGGCTATGGCTACCCATACTATAACTCACTACCCCACATGCGATACTTGCATTATTGATACTGGAGCCTCCCATCATATGACCTTAAATGTTAACAACTTGAATCAAGTCACTCATTTTGAAGGCACTGATAGAATCAAAATTGGCAATGGTCAAGGTTTGCCTATCAAGCATGTTGGCTCTACAATGCTTCATACATCATCTCATTCTCTTAAACTGACTCAAGTTCTTCATGTTCTTCATCTTACTGAGGATTTGTTATCTGTTAAACAACTTTGCAAAGATAATCGGTGTTGGTTCATTTGTGATGACTCTTTGTTCTTTGTGTAGGACAAGGTAACCAAGGAGGTTATTTACCCAGGCAAGAGTAGGCAAAATGAGTTGTTTCAGATTCCTATTTTCAAGACTCTGCATTCTTCAGTACAACATCTTCCAGCTTCAACATATCTTGGGCAATTAATCAAGTCTTCTGTGTGGCATTAACGGCTGGGGCATCCTACTAATGAGGTCTTATCTATTATGTTACAACAGTCACAAATAAATTATGTAGTAGATGATCAATGTACAATGTGACACTCGTGTATTCAGGGGAAAATGTCAAGATTACCCTTTCCTCAAGAGTCTTCTAGATGTTTAGTACCATTTGAAAAGATTCATTATGATATTTGGGGTCCCTTTCTAGTAAAATCCATTGAAGGATATAGGTATTATGTAACCTTTGTGGATGATTGTACTCATTTTGTATGGATCTTTCCCTTGTGCAATAAATCAGATGTTTTTTTTTTCCATCTTTGTGAGATTTTATACCTTCATTTTAGTAAATTTTAATGCTTCTGTTAAGTACTTCCAATCTAATGGAGGGGGTGAATATACTAGCAAATAGTTTGAAGGCTTTTTGAGTTCTAAAGGCTTAGTACACATGATCTCATGACCCTGTACTCCTCAACAAAATGGATTTGTTGAGAGGAGAAATAGACATTGTTTATACCATATTTAGGGCCTCGTATTTAGACCTCGTATAAATACTCGGGGGACTTAAATGTAATTATGTGATAAAGGAAGGGGCAAATATGTAATAAGTGAGGGTCCTTATTCTATAAAAGGACCCCTCACCCTCACAATTAGGGGAGACCAATTAATCAGCTTATTCTCTTCGGAGATGGAGATAGCCAATCAATCAGCTTATTCTCTTCGGAGTTTGACAACGGAGATGAAGGCCGAGTTGACTCAGGGTGAGGTGGTCTACTCGTCCAAGACTCTCCAAGTCTGGCGACATCTGCTCAACTGGCTCGGTTTCTTCTTCTAGATCTTCCTCCGAATCCTCCGAGCTCTAGGTCACCACCCCCTCATCTCTTCCTCCTTCTCCTCTTCTGCTCATTCCGCCGCCTTCAAATCACTGCCCGTCATCGAGCTGCCCGAGAACGACTCCCCTGCTGCCTCCGCTGTTGTAATCGCCGACACTCTCGATTTCAACTCCGACGACCCTTTTGAAAAGTTCACGGTAGTTCTATACCTGGATGAAACCCTAGTGTGTGCATATGAAACATCCATCTTGCCGGCCGTAGTTCGAACTCAAGCAACTAAAGTTGGGATGAAGTGGTTTGAGCTTGAATGCGTATCTTTGGACAAGGAATATGATGGCAAACCGAAGGTCACTTATGTCATAGTCTTTGAGTACACGGCAGAGGAGTCGCACACCAGAGCACACGGTGGAGGAGTTCTTGAAGATGTCATTTGGGTACGTGGGATTGAACCGGAGAGACCACATGGTGATCGACAAAAGATATCGATGACAGTCGGAGGTGGATAATCTGAAAGGGGATGCGAGCAAGGCGAAGAGGGTTCTGGACGATCCCGACATCATCATCATCAACAGAAGGAGCTAGAAAAATGACCTCTGGGAAGGCTAGAACGTGCAGGAAAAGAAAAAAAAAAACTTCTTTATCAAAATCTACAGCCTCCCCCAAAGGACAGTTGTGGAGCCATACAATCCCACTTTAGAAAAAAAAGTCACATATTCAGCCTCAACAGCAGTAACCAGTCAAATCCAACTCAAAGGCGCAGTGGGCATAAAAAAACAAAAGCAGAAAAGAGAAAAGCAAAAGATTTTTCTATTATTACGATTCCTTCTGTCTGCCAGGAGAAGATATAGAGAGAAGGCAGCAGAAAAACACTGCAAAAGCAAGGAATAAACACCCCACCCGAATGATGTAATTTATTTTTTTATCTTTTGAAGATATGTATAAACCCCATCAGAGGGTAAAAAAAAAAAAAAAGAAAAAGCAAAGCCCAAAATAAATGGGCTGGAATGTTGTGTAGAAGGCGAAGGCCCATAAGCCCAAAATAGCACCAACCAGGTCATCAAAAGTACGCCCAGTACTCCACAATTATTCGGCAACCTGCCGCTATTACCACCAACCAGGTGACTAAAAGTACGCCCAATACTCCAAAATTATTCGGCAACCCACCACTATTACCACCAACCAGGTGATAAGATGTACAACCCGTACTCTAATTTGGCAACTAGTCATTCATGCCACCAACCAGGTGATCAAAAGTATGCCCAGTACTTCATGTTATACATGAGCATTACTCATATCAATCATACATAATTCATGAGCATTACTCATGTCAACATTTATGAGCATCACTCATGTCAACATTCATAAGCATCACTTATGTTAACATCCATGAGCATCACTCATGTCAATCAAACATTCATGAGCATCACTCATGTCAATCAGCTTCAAAAGCTTCATTTACAAAAGCTCTAGCTTCAAAAGCTTCATTTACAGAGCTACAGCTTCAAAGCCTCACTTACAAAGCTTCAGTGCAGGGTATACAAATACCGCCTCCGAACAACCATCACTTCGACCCATACATGGATTCAATTTGAAGTTTCCAGCCAACATACTCTATTGACTGAAGACTTGGGGGACTACATTATGTACCATATATTGGGCCTCAACTAGGCCTCATGAAAAATACTTGGGGGACTTAGCCCATTATTTATGTATTGAGGAGCGAGCCCTTATTCTATAAAAGGGACATCCTCACCATCATTAGAGAGCAACGCCGCCAACTGAGCAACCGCCTCGCCACGAGCATCACTCCTAACCCATCACTTATGTATTGAGGAACGAGTCCTTATTTTATAAAAGGGACTCCCTCATCATCATTAGAGAGCAACGTCGCCAGCTGAGCAATCGCTTCGCCGCGAGCATCACTCATAACCCATCACTTATGTATTGAGGAGCGATCCCTTATTCTATAAAAGGGACTCCCTCACCATCATTAGAGAGCAATGCCACTAGTTGAGCAACCGCCTCGCCGCGAGTATCACTTCTAACCCATCACTTATGTATTGAGGAGAGATCCCTTATTTTATAAAAGGGACTCCTTCACCATCAGTAGAGAGCAACGCCACCAGCTGAGCAACCGCCTTGCCGTGAGCATCACTCCTAACTCATCACTTATGTATTGAGGAGCGAGCCCTTATTCTATAAAAGGGACTCCCTTACCATCATTAGAGAGCATCAACTCTAGCCCATCATTCATGTATTGAGGAGCGAGCCCTTATTCTATAAAAGGGACTCCCTCACCTTCAAATGCCGCAAGCCAAGCCAACCAAGGCAACATAAGCCATGAGCCTCGCAGCCTTGCAGCGTGTGCTACTTCTAGTTGAGCGTCATTTCAGATTGAGCACTGCCTCATATCGAGCATCAGTTCAAGATAGCATCTAGTTACTTCGGCCCACACATGGACTGAATTTCAAGTCTCCAACCAAAAGACTCTCTTGATTGAAGACTTGGGGGACTATTGTTTATACCATATTTAAGGCCTCGTATTTAGACCTCGTATAAATACTCGGGGGATGTGATAAAGGAAGGGATAAATATGTAAGAAGTGAGGAGTCCTTATTCTATAAAAGGACCCCTCACCCTCACAATTAGGGGAGGCCAATTCCTAAGGCTCATCACCCTCTCAACGCTTTCACTCTCAGAGCTCTCTCTCTCCCTCACTTATCAGAGAAATACAATACAATCAGTGTGGACGTAGCCTAAACCTTGGGGTGAACCACGATACATCTTGTGTCATTTACATTTCTTGCAGATTCACAGTCGGATTTACGTTGTACCAAGACTTCCGGTTTTGTGCATCAACAGACATATTATTGAAACTGCCATTACTTTGCTTTCTGTTGCTAGTTTATCTCAGGAGTTTTGGTTTCATGCATGCACATGCTGTCTATTTGATTAACAGAATGCCCTGTAAATCTTTGCATATGGATTCCCCATTTCTGGCTTTATATCAAAAACCACCAATATTGCAACATCTCAAGATTTTTGGTACAACAGTTTTTCCCTATATCAGGCCATATAATTCCAATAAACTACAACCTAGATCAGTGTTATATGTGTTTTTGGGATATTCAGTTGGATATAAGGGTATTATTTGCTATAATCTTCGTCCAAGAAAATGATTTTATCCAGACATGTTATTTATGATGAAAGTGTTGTTCCTGCTAAGCTCTCTGTTGCTATAACTCAGTGTGCTCCAACTGTTCAAGAGACTCGATTAGTTCCTCCATTAGTGGTTACTTTACCTGTAATCACTCTTCAGATTGGTTAGTGGTATGCATGACAGTTCCACAAGTACTTCCGCTTCTGTTTCTAGTATGTTTGACAGGTCTTCATCACATTCAATGGTTGATACCAATATATAGGAATCTGAAACATCAACATCAACCACTCATTTTAATGCCACTCCTTGCTCCAAATAAGTATAGCTTTTCTGGGTATACTTATCTTGCTGATATAGTTGATATAGAAGAACCTAAAACTTTTAGGACTGCTTCTATGAACCCTTTATGGCAAAAGGCAATGCAGGAGGAATTTGATGATTTGAAATCTCAGGGTACTTGGGTATTGGTTCCTGTTCTATCTCAACGATCCGTAGTTGGGTGTAAATGGGTTTATAAAGTGAAAAGGAACTTTGATGGCAGTATATCTCGTTACAAAGCTCGATTAGTGGCTCAAGGGTTCACTCAAGAATAGGGAATTGATTATTCTGAGACTTTTAGTCCAGTGGTGAGGCATTCCACTGTTAGACTTATTTTAGCCTTAGCTATTTCATGTAAGTGACCTTTAGGGCAACTTGACATCAAAAATGCCTTCTTGCATGGTGATTTGGAAGAAGAGGTTTACATGTATCAACCTTAAGGTTTTGTTGATTCTCAGCATCCTAACTATGTGTTCAGATTAGTAAAGTCTTTATATGGACTAAAACAAGCTCTTCGAGCTTGGCATTCAAAATTTACTAGTGTCTTACCTAGTCTTGGTTTTAATGTCTCACACTCTTATGCTAGCTTGTTTGTCAAGTATGATGGCACATATGTGGTGATTCTCTTATTATATGTTGATGATATAATCATCACTGGCTCAGATACATCTCAGATTCAAGCTGTTATTACCATTTTTGGTGACTTGTTTGAGGTAAAAGATAAGGTATTTTTTAGGACTACATATTCAATATAGAGAGAATGGGGATTTGTTTATTAACCAAACCAAGTATGCTACTGAATTGTTAAAGAAGGCAAGCATGGATACTTGTAAACCTGCCCCCACTCTAGCAAAACCACACTCTCAGTTGCTTGTTGTTGATGGCACACCTTTTCTTGATGCCACTATAAAGAAGCTTAGTTGGTGCCCTTCAATATCTCACATTTACTCGCCCTGATATTACTCATTCGGTTGGTGTTGTGTCAATATATGAGTCCACCAACAAA